ATATATATATATACATGTGAATTATTGAGGTAACTCCAGAAATTTATTTTTACTCCTATGGCCATTTTCAGTGAATACTTGGACACTTTTGTTCTTGGGCAACCCCAATGCAGAATCTTCAAAGGCAAAATACTCAAGCAGACTATTTGGAGAGGTAAAACACCAAGATCACTACCAACTCATATTGTCATCCCTTAATGACTCTTACATCCTCCTAGAAAATCCTAGACTTATTATGGGAGGCAAAGGGAAATCACAGAAATAGCTCTAAACTGGAAGTAAGAGAACTTGATTTCAGTTCAAACTCTATCATTAATTGCACGAACTCTGGTGAGCACTTCACACTGATAGACCTTTTTTCTTCATGGGTATAATGAGACGATCAGACAATGATCTAAAAGGATTCTGGCAGTTCTGTGTAAAAGCCACTGAAAGGTTTGTTACATGAACCGATAACCTCATTCAAATGCATCCTCTCAATTTCTCCAATCATTGATGCATTGCACTCCCTACAATCTAATTTCCTTGAGCACAGCGAGGCAAAGTCCTCAGATGACAAAATGGTAGTGTGAATCCAGAATGTCCCAAAGATGTCAAAATTCCATTGGCACCAAGCAGCAATGCAAATTAATTTTTTTTAAAAACTTGCTATATGGAGAAGAATATTTATCAGTAATACTTTTCAAATTATACATATTCCAAAATATTGATTGAAATCCAAATAGTGTGAGCTATTATAGTGGACTTTCAGGGGATCATTAAAGCTCCTTTTTCATTTCTGATTTTAAGGAGTTTTCACATTTATTTCACAAGGATTAATTATATGCAGCATAGATACTATTCAAAGTGTCATTTGTGTGTGGAATTGTACTATAGAAGAGTAATTCTTAATCTGGAATGTACACACAAATGAACTCTAGTTTGGCAAACTCAGATTCTGTTTCAGTAGGTCTGAAGTTGGCCAAAGACTGCATTTTTAACAAGTTCCCATGTGTTGATATTGTTGCTGGCCCATGTACTTCATTTGTAGTGACAAGGACAAGCTGTGGGCCACAATGAGAACAGGTTCTCAACCCTGTGTGTACACAGGAATCACTTAGGGACACTTAATTAAATACTAGAACCTGAATCTTACCTACAGAGATGCTGATTCAATTATTTTAAAGTGCAGTCTGGGCACAGAAGTTTTTTTAAATTCCCAGGTAATTCCAATTTGCACCTAAATTTGAGATTAACTACCACGGAGATAATAACATGAATTAAATTAGAAAAATGAGGCTTAACTTGAAATGGAAAAATAAAATTATATATAACAACTGTGACTGAGCGTTTCTAAAAAATAATAATTTCATATACAAGTCCTAAGATTCTTTCCACATCTCCTGCCTGCTACTCGACAGCTGATTCAATTTGAAAATGAACAAATATCGGTGGAGAAAACCCAACTCCTAATCAAATCTCATCCCTTCCTTCTTGTATTATGCTATGACTGAAGATTTGTGTGGACATCTCATGTAAGCACTGTCTTTTCTATTCCTGTGTTATGTTATATGGAACAGAAAAGGGATATCACAATAGGCAAAACGGCCAGCACCTTTCACCACATCTCTCTCCCCAGTTTATGGGTATATCATTTGTCCTACCAGTTGATGCTGCAGCTTCACTGCCATCTTCATTTATCTCAAAGAAAACTTTTTGCATGACTTGAGAAACATACACTTCTGACGAATCTGATGAAAAGAGGAAAGAGTATTTGTTGGTTAAATCAAGAGCCATTATATATTATTAGGTGCCAAATTAATTACGTTTTAAAATAAACAAAGAACAGGAATCAGCAAATGAAATAATTCCTCTGTAGTCAATTTGCTAGAGTTTTATGTGGTTTATGTTTAATTCTCACATGTGACATAAATGTAGACACAGAGAGAAAGGTGAAAATATTCCCCACTACAAAAGGTAAAGCCTCAAATAAGGTATTCTAGTAAATAAAATATTTGAATGAACAGAGGGTTCTACTGCCATAGTCATGATCTACAGACAGAATGAAAGAGGCTTTACAGACTTGAATTAATCTCACCTTTTATGTTCAACCTCAGAGCCACCTTCTCTTTTAAAGTCTGTATTCAATTTTGATCTGAGTTCAAAACAAAATTTACTTCCTTTCAAGATCAGTTAGGCTATCAAAGTCTAAAAGGCTTTTGTGTCATATGTTCCAAAATCATTTGGGAGTTATGCTTTAAAACCTGTTAAATTTTTCAGTGTAAGATAGTGTCTTACAAACATTTTGCTCCGGTGTGGGTAGGAGCTGAGAGAGAGTGTGCCTCTTCTCCCTTCAGAGTTATCAATGTGTGTGTGAAGTGTTTCTGGGAGAGTAACAGCAAGCATAATTCTCTTGAGAAGGAAGAAGCGAAGCCGCGTCTCCAGAAACCATGTGAAGTTGTCTTTGGAGGAAGAGAAAGATCTGACAGTGTTCCTCACAGAGGCAACATATACATGCTTTAGAAATCTGCCTGGCACAGGCAGGATCTTACAACTAATACTTCTCAAATAAGTAAATCAATGGATATGAATATGTCTATGATTGAAATCTGTAAAACACAGAAAAGGGAGCAACCACCCTATTTAGCGCAGATTAACGAAAATGCAGAACGGACTCTCAAGGCAAGTAAATGCCTCCTTCTCCCAGAACTGCCAAAAAGACAGGATTCCCAAATAGAGTTCAGAGTAAATGGCCAAAGGGCTCACACGCAGAGGCAGAAAGCACGTAGGAGGAGCAGAGAACTTCACCCAGGTTAGCAATGGCACCAGCTCACATAGCGTCCAGGCAGTTACACACTTGGTCTCATGCGCTCCACACTTTCTCAGGAAAAAAACAAAGAATATGAACTCCATAAATCCACTGGTTTCTACACCTTGGTAACAATTATTTCCCTTGATTTTTATGAAAATTCCAAACATGTCTCTGTGAAATTAAGAAGACAAGAAAACTAGTTTTGCAAGAAAATGTGCGAGTAAATACTGTGATGCTCTTGATTTTTTTCACATGAATGGAGATCTACTATGTGTTAGACGAAGTAGGCAATTTACTTACATTATTTTATTCATTTCTCTGAAGTCACGAGGATGCGTTATCTTAGATTAGAAAGTTAAGCTTCAGAGGGGTTAAGTACTTTACTACAAGAAGTAATAGCAGAGTGAGATATCAAATATGGACTTCCCAGTTTCCAAAGTAACTTTGTAAAAATATTTTATTCAGATAGGGACAGCAGGGAATTCACTATGCTCCTAACCACCAACTATAGTATCAGCATTGGCTCTGTGTGTTCTATTATAGGTATTAAGACAAAACCAAAAAAGTTAAAAGAACCTGAACAAGCAACCTAGGAAGAAAAGGGCAGAAAACGGTGGACATTTATTCTTCTCTGCTCAGGATTATTCTCTTGCACAAATTCTTTTGTGAACTCTTTTAGAAGTATTTTCTTGAATTAGTCTGTAAAAGGAGATTTTATAGATGTCACACATTGGTGGGAATTTTCAGAGTGGTTATATGAAAGTCTTGATTATATTAAGCAAGTTTCCTAAGGCCAGAAAGAAGTTTAAGAGGGGAAAATAAAAGATTGCAAATAATTTGTTTTATTATATGTTGGTAAGATGGCTACTAGGACATATTTAGATAACATCCTGTTGCAATATTTAATGTGGACTATCTCATTCCTGGTGTTGATGAAATTTTCCAAGAAGTCAGACTATGTGTCACTATGAGAACGAGTACCTACATCATGTTTGAAGGTGATAATGAATATCTGTGACACCTGTGAACTCTGTCTACATCTTCCAACCAGATAATTCATTCATTCTCTCCACTGACCCACATATGGGTGATGAGAGGATAAATTAACAAATGTCACTCTGAAGTCCAGATATTTAAATGGGAAAACACAAAATATATCCACACTATTTCATATTAAAGTAAAAAACGGCCCTTTTATTACACAGAAGACCACTTTTTAAAAATGATAAGTAGGGATGTAGCTCAGTGTCTCTGCTCCCTGCCTCAGAAGCACAAGGTTCCAAGTTCAGTCTCTGGTACCAAAAATAAATGAATTAACTAACTAAATAAATAAAAATAATAAGTAAATTTATGATTCACTGGCACTTTTCTTCCATTTTCCCTTTAGTTGTTTATTTTTGAACTAATTAGTACTGCCCAAGCCAAAAGGATGAAAAACACTATCTGGCATTATTGTACAAGTGAGCATTTAACCAGGCACAATGCGAGTCAGCATGAAGGCTCCATCCCCCATCCACTGTTAGTGCAAAGGAATCTGTTGCTAAATCTGCCAGCTGCAGCAGTACAATTTCTTGATATTATGAGTACTATTCTATACTCTACTATTGCTGAATTAATATTTGCAATTCGTTTTGCAAATCCAAAGTTGGATTATAAAGTTGTCACTCTGATTATATAGAGAAGAAAATATAAACAGGGAACAAATATAATCCTATACATTTTTATATATATGGTTTTATTAAAATTATAACTAAAATGTTTGTCTACTCCTGGAAAAATAAAAGGAGTTAAGGAAAGAAGGGGAAAAATGGAAATGTGCTATGTACATGTACCAGTTCCCAACAATGAATTTAATCATTATGTACTGAAAATATATACTAATAAAAGTTAAAAAAATAAAATGCTTGTCTAACATTATGGAAGGACTTTTGACTTTCATCAAAGAAAACTAAAATACAAAATGTGATAGAGTGCTTGTTCATAAACAGCTCAGTATTCACCATACGTATGTTTGCTGGAACCAAGTAATCTTTCAGTTTTAAGATCAATCAGTTAATGTAGTGCTGTACTAAGAAAATAACCTAGCATGACAATATAGAAATTATTCATTATACTACCTGTTATTCCAGAAAGGTTGCAGCCACGACTAAATATCTCAGTTATGTTCAAAGAATGCAAAGCTTCCTTGAAGTCTAATTTTTGTTCTACAGTCAATCTGTTTTCAAAAAAAGGAAAAGAAAAGGTGAAGGGAAACAAATCCTTGAAACATAGTACACATTTGCTGGAAAAGAAAATGCTTTTCATAAAACGAATGACTTGGAAGGGATCATACTGTGAAATCTTTTGTTCTTTTTATCCCAACTACATTTTTCTCATATTTCACATCATTATTTTCCCCTAGCTCCACCAATCCGTTTGAGTTGCTAATAACCTGCTTCTAGGATAAATGGTTGATGGGAATAAGTAGAATATTCTATTTTTCAAGTAACAATTACCTACCAAAACAGCTCTAAATTTTTATTGCTTAGTTACTTCCTAAGACATGTAGAGTTTCCTTCCAGCAACTCTATGTACTCAAGATTTTCACACCATTAAAGATGGCACCTGGCAGACATTCATAACACTATGAGCAGGAAACAGAAGTCAGCCTTCCTCTGAGAAGACTGTTACCGAGGTACAGATAGTTGTTTATAATAAGTCATCCACCACATTCACTGGCACAGGTTATGTGAATTTCTCCAGTTTTGAAACACATCTATTATCTTCCCAACGGACCCTATAAAGAGATTAGATTCAAAAGGAACCAGGTATCTTTCAAATGAGCAAAACAATAAAAATATAGAAAAGGTGGGGGAGAGCTAGCCAGGGCTTCCAGTGCAGGGCCATACAAACTTAGGAATGCAGTATCTGGTGTAGCTCTGTAGTGCTCACCTGTGAAGAGGGACAGGACATCACCCAAATACTCTCAGGCACTGAGACAGTCCAAATCCACAGCATCACTGAATCTCACTGACTCATTTAATAAGAAAGCAGTACAAGGTAGGGCATTTTTTAATTTCCTGGTTGTTGAAAGCATCAATTTACATTTTTTAAACCAGATTGGAAAGTTTTTTAATTAAAAAAAATACAAAAACAACATTCCTAAATATGGGACTGCTTCTGACATCAGTGAAATTTCTGGCAACCGCTAAGGGGTTGGTGAATGCACAGAAGGCATTTGCCCCCGTGCTCTAGGTTTGGAAGCTGTTCAAAGACCCTTACTTATAAAAAAGGTAAACCAACATTTGAGGCTGTATGTTAGCTTGAATATTCCATCTAATTACATCACTGTTTTAGTTGGCAAATACAAAATAAGGTTCTTAATTATAATTCTTCAAAACAATGAACATGCTGTGGCAGAACTTACTGGTCCTAAATTATTTCCTGCTAGAATAATATTCATTTCTGAAAGATGCTAACTCATTCAGAACCTGGCTAAGCAGGAATGGGTACAAGAATATTAAAATCTACTGCAGATGGAAATAGCTTATTTGATGTGAACTATTTTTAACTTCTTTGTAAATTCTTACTAAGAAAGGTAAAATGCAAATATGATGGCTTTGATTTTTTTGTTGTTGTTTTCATTATCATACTCTTTAAGTGGAATGGAGTATGGCTCTTTAACAGGTGGAAAATATATGTCCAATACACCCAGAAATTGATAATTTTTACTAGAACAGTCCAACTATTTTAGGATATGACAAGAATATTGCAAGACTTATTACAACTTCTAATACTGCTTCATTATCACTGAAGAGACATTTAAATGATAGTGCTACTCATAATATAGTACAATGAGAGTTATAGCAATAGAAATACATCTAGCCATTTAATAGATGTATAATCTGGGGCCAATTTCTAATTATCTATAATTATTGGAACCATGAATAGCCAGGTATGAGACACTTAATATAGATTGTAGTTTTTAATCATCACAAAAATCTTAGGAAGTCAGCATTTTCAGTGCTATTAACCTATAACAGAATTTAGAAAGTTGATTTCTATCCTCAAGGTCAAGATAAAGCCTAGAGTTATAGTTTAAGCTTAGTTCTATTTTTTTATTCAGAGCTAATATGTTGATTGCCATTGTTCTCTAATCAAAAAAAATGAAAATATAATTCCAATGCACCATACACAATATACAATTTATATGTAACATATACATAAATATGCATGTGATAGATATCATATGTATATAAAATGTCCCTTTTCCAAAGTCTTTCTTAATTTCTTAATATTTATTTCATTCGTGTTCCATTTTCCCTTTTTCTTAATCTTCCTCTAAAATTGTCAAAAGAGCAGTAGTCAAAGGATGAGCAACCAAGATGATGGTTAGAGAAGTAGCAATTAAATAATGATGAAATGAAATTTTTACCGTACATGGACATTATCTGCTTCCTTAAAAAATACCAATTTATTCCTAGATTGTAAATAGGCTTCCCATAAGTAATAACTACAGAAAATACAAGAAAACAATCTCAATTTGTTTTACAAGGGAGCCTTTACTAGACTAACAAACACTACTGAGGATTAGTGTTATTCGTTCTCTCTCTTTTATACCCAAAGTTCTTGTTTAAAGAAAATGTCTTGGTCGAATTTCCCATTGGGTACCTACCCTATTATTTGACACCTCATCTGATATGTAATGGGATTGAGTCACTCCTGAATTGTTCAGAACTAGAAGCAACCAAACCAAATCCTAGGTTTACCCCTGAAAATAAAAATATAACAAAGTCCTTGACAGTGGTGGGTATATAGCAGCTCTTGGTCATTGCCAATGAACTATCACATAGTTGTGTGAAATACCTTATTCGCTCTTTTTGGAAGAGCAGAAAATACCTTCTGTCACATATGAAACATATATGGGCAATGTTTAATGTATGCTTGTTATTCCAGTTTGTATCACTGTCTAATAGGTTCAACATTTTGTACTAATTACTATAACTAGTCATGACATATCTATTCTTATCCACTCTCATTTTTCCATTTTTAAAGTCTCTTTCCTATAAATAATGCTTATTCACTGACTTAAAGATTGAAGGCTGACCAAGGCCTAAGTTCGGTTTCTAGTTCAGCGAAACTTTGACACTTCATGTCCTATGGTAGTTCTGTTTTGGAAAAGCTTTGGCACATCTGCTCCCCATCCCTTACCTTGCTGTGAGCTCCATCACTGACCATTTTGCTCTGATTTGTGTTCTCCCTTCTGTTTACCCTACATTATACCTCTTTACCGACTTCTAGCTGTCCTCTTGCAACTTTCTTACTGCTAGATATTAGCTGTGTGAACTCCAGTTACTTACCTGCCTACAATTCCTCTGTAACACGAATATAAAAATATGTCCTTATCAATTGTATAGGGGTTAAATGAGATATATAGGGACATCTAGTTATTAAAATTGAGTGAAAATAATATGCAAATAGTAAGTTAATACTGAACAGCACAATCATATGTTCATTATCTCATGGAATCTTCAGAACAACTTCACAAGGCATATATTATCATTATGCCACTTAACAACATAATAAAACTATTATACAAGTACTGTGATTAACCTAAAGTTACACAGTTAAAAGCAGGCCATGCTTTTGGCCTTCAATAGTGTATTCTATTTTCCATGATGTGGTTTCAGGAGTTGATAAATGATACTGGAAAAAGCCACCTGAGTCAATATTTTCAAAGAACGTTACCTACCAGAAAGCATATGCTCATTAATTAGGTATTTACTTTTAAATGGCACTGTAGTTTTAAACAACTACAAAGATCCATAAAATTCAGTTTAAAGATCAGCAAATTCAATATCATCTATAAGTCCTCTCCCAAAGAAAATACATTTTCAACCTTACATGAATAAATTAGTAAATAATTTCATGGGCTTCAAAGATATGGAGTTTCACCTCCGAATACTCCAGAAGTCCACAGAACCTAGCTAAGGTTCACTACAGACAAATAAGAAACCAAAGTTCTCTCATTTTTTCTAGGAAGTCAAGCTTAGAATATCAGAGCAGTCTGTGCTTTTGTGACCCAAATCAAATTAGTTGCAGGTTCCAGTAAGTGTTTTTCTACTTCCATCTGTTCCTTACTCTTCCGAGCAGAGTTGTTCCCTGGAAACACTCATTACTTAATGCCTCAATTTTTGCAGTGGTTCCCTAGCTGATCTTTGGGATTTCAGTTTCCTTCTTAAACATATTCTCAAAGTTATTACTACTCAGTTTAAAGTAGCAATCATTAATTAAATAGCAACTATTTTTTCAGGCTTATTCTTTGTGCTGGGATTTATAAACAGGAAACTTGCATAGTTTCTGAACTCAAGAGGTTTACATGCCAGTAGAAAGACAAACAAATAATGTTAATACAACTGTCCAGATGGAAATAAATACCAGACGGTAGAAGAAAGAGGCAATGTCAGTAGGATCTTGCCTAGAGAGCAAAGGATTTGTAAAACCCAAGCTTAATTTTTAAGTAACAACAATAAAATTTACCCAGAAAAATGGAGATGATGGAAAGGAGTAAGAATTGAGGATTTCAAGGAAGTTATGAGCATGAACAAAATCATTGTAATTACTAAATAGATCTTCCTAAAACACTGCAGTAATCATTCCGCTGCCTTACTTTGACATTTTCAATAAGTCACCATTGCATGTGAGGGTAATCCTCTTGTTCCTTTTAAAGCTTGGTTCTCAAATCTTTCTTCCATGGACCCCTGTTGACATTTAAAGGTTCTGTGATCCCTCCTTTCTCACAGCCTTTTCTAATGAACCTCCCAGTCCTCATTGTCAATACTATTCTTCTAGTACTCATAATACACAGATGCACAGCCTTAATAAATTTCTTGTGCAAATTTTGCACTACTGCATCTGAGTAGTAACCATCCTATCAACATTTGATATATCGCATCTGTTCTCACCTTTTGCCAACAGTAGGGGCTCAACTAATCTGTGATAAGAGTAAGTTTGTGATCCAATAGAAATGAGAATTAATCTGGACTCTCCCAGTATTTGAATATAATTGATTTAATGTTAAATGTTTTGGTTTTCTTATCTATGAAATACAAATAATTAAATCAGACTATACAGCCATTAGCATTTAGTATTAAAATATAAACATTAAATCCTTTATAAAGATGAAAGTACTATGTAGATGAATGGTATCTATTTATTTACCTGATTTATATGTAT